AGGGAAAACGTGAGTGGGATTATTATAAATACAAGCCTATGTCTCACCAGAACTTATAAAAAGATTCTAAACAGTAGTGTATGTCAAGTGGCAACGATACCACTTAGCCGCACAGCTAAGTATACCAGCGGATAACATAATATATGTGAATTCTCTGAACTAAAAGATTGTCGAACTATAGAAGATAATATAAATAAAAAATATAAATATAAAAACAAAAGTTATTCGAAACCCTTATGAAGACCTTCCGATTACGCAAGCTATGACGTGTATTTTTTGTCAGACCATTTTCGAAAGTAAGGAACACCTGCAATCATTTTTTTAATTGAGTGAAAGTTTGGAAATTATACAAAAATAGTTACCAGGATAAAATGTCTTGCCTCATCCGTCGATAAATTCGACAAAAATTCCAAAGGCAAAGTACTCAGCTTGAAATTCATAATGAAAGTTGTAATTAAATAATAGAAATAAGACTTCCATTGTTAGGCCATTAAAAATCTACACCTTTATATTATGACAAAAACCTGCACTATGCAGAGAAAATACATTAAAATACTGATCTAACTGAATATTGTGGTGGTTGTGACACCGATTACCTTGGCTTCTGAGGCAGTAAGGGTGCCTTCGCCGGCAAACAAAAGTCTAGGCGGCTCCAAACGCATCTCGTACTCACGCGAAGCTATCGCAATCGCAGGTGGTGGCGGAGACTCATCTGCCCAGCCGGACAACGTAACGGTGGGAGGAGGTGATGGAGATGCATTTATCTGAGTATCTGAACTAAGGAAGGCTTTAGAAGGGAGTTGAGAAACACTTGGGTCTTCAGTGTAGGTCTCATCCTTCCCAGTATCAATAAGATCAGAGGTGGGTTTCAAATCTTCGTCTGGCCGAGTCTCCTGACCTGATATGCACAAATCCATCGATATATCAGCAGGCTCCAGTTTTACTGTAACGGAAGAGGCTGGTAACTGAGAGTTCTCACTTGACTCTGATGGTCTAGTAAAGAATACTTCAACTACGGAACTAGAAGCCAGTCCCGAACTCATCAGCTTAGCGAACTTTTGATTGACTGAATTAGGAAGTAACTGTGTCATTTCTATGTTGTTTGTAATTTGTGAAGTTTGATAAGAAGTTTCAAATGGACGTGAAACCAAGACAGCACTCGAATCTGAAGGAGGGCAGCTGGCAACAGACGAAATGCGACCGAGGTTTTGAGAATGTTCAAGAGCAGTGGCATCAGTAAGTAAGACGACCTCAGTATTTTCCTCGACCATAGCACCAGAAGATGGAGAAGCCAAACTTGCGTCTGTGGGCAGTAGCGTAGTCGTCTCTGAGAGACTTAAAGAAACGGCCGATCCTGTGGAGCACTTATCGGTCGCTGAGGAGCAAGTGGACAAAGGTCCAACAAATGACTTGGCGCTTGGACTGACTTCCATAGCAGAGAAAGACAAGGAAGAGACCGGGTCGACAAGCAGATCTTGAGTTACAGGTGAAGTTTCGTGTATAGCCGAAATTAATTGTATCTCGGCTTTTGTTGACTTAACAGTGGAGACTGCCAGGGCCGATTGTAACAAGGGTGCAGATAGCTTGTTTGACTCCAATGAGGCGACATCAGCCTGAGTAACCAATTCATTTGACCCATCGTTAGTTGAGAAAGCACTTGCGTGATTTTCGGAGCTAGTCGAACTGCCTGTGTCTTCGGAGAAAGTTGATTCAGAAAGCTGTGGGCAAGCCGGTTGTAGATCTTTGACACTTATCTGTTGTTCGTCAAAAGTTATTACGGTTTCGGCCAAAATAGCGTGACCATTAGAGTCCACTGGCTGAGACAGAGGTTGCTCAAGGTCAAAACCAAGCTCCAAAGAAGAGGCCTGGGATGGATGCTTAGGTTCAGGGTCGGAGGGCAGCTGTCCAGAGATTGTGTCTGCAAAGGAGGTCGCACCAGGAAAACGAGAGTTATCGGATAATGCAGCCCCGCTTTGTTGTGGAGACCGCGAGCTGATAAATGAGGTGTGACTAACATCAGTATGTAATGTAAGCTTGCCTTCAGCAAAACTTTCCACCGAGCCTGATAAACAGCTATTTTGAGAGAGTTTTGCCTTGTAGATCCCATTACCTGTATCATCCAAAGTTGGAATGTTATCTTCAAAGGCCGCCTGATTAGTGCCACAGATGCTACTAGAATTCCTAACAACGGGACCACGCTCTTCAGGGACAGGCAAACTGGAGGCGTAGGCTAGTCTATCCAAATCTGAGCTACCAGGCTCGCCAGTTGTGTAGGCGCCCAAGGCAAATGGATCCTCAGACCATCGAGTAACCAAATAGGCCAGTGGCTTAGGCAGCCGATGACGACCTAGGGTTGACGTATGGTTGACAACTTCGGGCGCAACAGATTTACTAGTATTAACTTCATTACCTTCAATATTTCTGTCCTGGTAATTAATTGCATTAGTTTGTGCACTTGTGTCTGTTTCCGCGTCTGGAGATACAGATGCAATTTTAGCTTTACAAGACAGGGCTCTGGGGTACATGCCACCGAGAATGTCTAAAATTTGGCCAATCACATCTTCATCAGTCATTCCATAGGGATTGAGTCCGCCACCCCCCCAAAGGTGAGCACAAAGAACACCAGGTTTGCCTAAAATTAGTAAAGAATGGGAAAAAATGAATATATGTGGAAAGAATTTAAGTTATACACACGAAAAAATGCAATGAAGGCAGAAAAAATAGGATTCTTCGAATAGGATAGAATTAGTACCTTGCCTCAGAAATATATTCGATAACGAGCACTTTTAAAATGTTTTATTTAGCATCTGACAACATACTTAGGCCGATGAGAACAAAAATTGTTCTCAAAGTGATTCAGAAAACTGGAAACTTAAGCATAGAAAATATAGCAGAAATGAGATGAATAAATAGATAAAATGTGAAAAGAGATTAAGCTAACAAATAGATTAGCCAGTATTTTAAAGTGGAGAATAAATCCCAAAATATCATGGAAGGATAAGAAAACAAGTAGTAAGTGACGAATACAGTATATCTTATAAATACTTTTAAAAATAAATATACTTATAAGTAAAAATTTGAAAACCTTCTCCTAATCAAGGTCTAATAAGAACAAATGAAGAAGAAAATGGGGAATCTACTCTCATGTATTAATGAAATCCAAACTGTTTACTTTTCTATCAGTTATATTGGTGTCTTATTTTAAAATCTGAAATCAAGTAAACAATGAGGCATGAGCAGAAGTGCTAGATTGACGTGAAACTGCTGAAGATAGTAACCTTACTTCCAGTGACATAGCTATCTAAACTATAAAGAGAGATAGAGCAAGTAGACAAATCCATTGTCTTAGGAGGAAACCACTAGTCTTCAGCAGAATTGCCTACACATTAAAATTGTTCATGCACTGAAAAATGGTGACTTTTGATAACGACAAAGTACGAGTAGCTCTGGCAGCAAACTCTAAAAGGCAATAAATTTATCACCATATCGATGTAAGTTGAGAATGTGCAGTCGTGAGTCAGGGCACTCAAGATGTGCAGCCTCAGCATCCCAGAAGACATCCTCAGGCACGCTGAACCTTAGTACCACTTTATTATGCGTAGCGGCTCCGACGTGAGGTAAACCGAGGCGATTTATCGCTTCTCGCTTACGGGCAGGCAAGAGTGGTTCGAAAGTAACTGCAGATCGAGGATCCAAGCCTGAAAATATAGGTAAAAAATAAAAGGAAATAAAAATTCCAAATCAGTAGACATGAAATAAAAATTAATGAACGCTCCCACAAAACGAATCTTACATTAGGATGAAACAAGAGCTAAAAATGATTGGATTTAAGCCAAATGAGTGACAATTTTGGGCCGCACCTGGGGTTAAGGTTACCTCCAATATCGGTTTCAGCCCAATCTGGCAGAAAAGGCCATTCAAAAATAAGGAAAAAAAGAAATATAATGTTAGAATTTTTTGTAAGTGAGTAAGTTTTAGAGACTACCAGTAAATCAGATATACGAGTTATATTCACCCTATTTCGTTTAAGGTGATCAAGAGCTGATAGTTTATTTTTGCCACGATGATATAAGTAGAGTTGACGTTTCCATTGAATTTCACAGAGCCTTGCTTTCCCAAAAGGCGTCCTCATCCAGAAAAAACTGCAAGTTCGACCTCGCATAGGTCCTCGCAATACCCCAAGCAGGAGTCGAACAACGGCGGTGCAACGTGTAGGCTTGAAACGTGATTCTGTAATCCTGTGTATTGTTAGAGCTTCGTAGATGCGTGTTTGTGCGTGTGTGCAACATTCACAAGTTGATTGGAAATTTTAGGTCTAGCTGAGTCAAGTTTTCTCATGAAGTGCCCCTGAGTAAGAGAAAACTTGACTAAGCTGTAGTCTTTGGACCTGAAATCGCCAACCAACTTGTGAGTCGAAGATATGAAGACCAAGATGGTGTGGATTTTTGTGTGGTCGCAGTCTCCTTTTGTTGTTTATAGGTTGTTTGACCTTGTTTTTGAAACTTTGTCATATTGGTAGGAAGACTTAGAGGAACGCACCTAATCTGGAGTCCATTGTATGCATGATCATTTCCAAAGTCGGACCGTGGACGTGGTACATTCCCAGACGTTTC